TCAAAGACCCCCCTCAGTCCCCAGGAAGACCCCAAGGAACCCCCCAATCCCAGAGAACACCCCCCCTCCTGTCACTCTGCCCTCAGTCAAGATGGCGGCACCCCCTCGTGCCTCGCAATGGGCGCGAAGCCGCAATGGGCGCGAAGCCGCGCTGGGCGGACCCCGCCTGCCCTCTCCCGAGATAGCGCCTGAGTCCCCACGTGCCCCAAGGGCGTGGCGGCCTTGCCAGCTTGCCCTTACCCAACATAGCGGCCGCTCGCCAATGCTCCTGAAGGGTCCTGAAGCCGACAGCTGGTGACCCGGATGGACCCGCCCTCCTGCCCTTATCCAAGAGGGCGCCACGCTCCCCGGCTTTCCCAATAGGAGTGAAGGTGGAGAGGTGAGCGTGGCCCGGATGTGGGCGGGGCCTCTATCCCGGATGTTGCGTCGCTCCGGAGCCGCGGCGGCCGCCTGCGAGCGGGGAGCGGAGCGGACGGAGCCAACATGGCGGCGCTGAGGCTGGGGCGGCTGTGACGGGGAGGCCGCGGCGCCCTCAGCCCGGGCAGCCCCGTAGCGCCAGCGGGGCCCGCACAGCGGAGCGGGAGCTGAGCCGGCGGGCATGGCGGGGGCGGCGTAAGGGAGGCCTCAGCGGTCCCTGTGGGTGAGGGGACGGGCCCGGGCCCAGGCCGCCTCCCCCCTCTGCCAGCGCGGCCCAGTACCGGGCAGGGGCAGCGCAGGAGAGCCCTCGGGTGCCCGGGGGATGGGGGCCTAGGGGGGCCCGCATTCCCGTGGCCGCGGGGCCGAGCCGCTCTCCTCGGTAGCCCGCGGAGAACCATCGCCCCCCTCCCCGCCTCAGGCCGGCGGCCCCTCGCCGCCCTCCCCGCCCCTGCCGTTCCCGGGACCTTGCGAGGGCGGACAGGGCCGTCCCCGAGCGGCGGTGGCCGGACTTTGGTTCCAGAGGCTTTAAAAAGCCGGGCGCTCCCCAGGTGCGGGGGGAGGCCGCAGCCGGGCTGTGGCATATGCCGGTAACGGGGAGGGAATAACTGGGCGGGGGTCAGGGGCGAGTGACGGAGCGAAGCCTTAGCCGCCCTCAGGTAACCCTGTGTTGGTGATTTAGTGCTGTATTTCTGGGAGCTTTGAGCTTAGCTTCTGGGGGAGTCAGGAGTTTTATTCTTTAACACAAGTGTAGGGCAGTGCGGCTGTAGAGGTTCGGACGGAGCAGCTGAGCTCTGGGCCCAGCTCTCCAGGCAGGCTCTCTCCTGGGAGATAAGCTGGTCTTAAGGAGCTGGGGGGGTGGAGACAAGCACTCTATAATTGCAAGTAAAGGCGAAGGAGAAGGTATGGGCTGAATCTTAAAAGAGTAACCCAGTTCAGATGACCTTTTCTCAGCTCTTTTGTTAAGGTTTATCACTTAACCTGATCCAATTTCTGGAGAAGTTGCTATGCTAAGAAAGCAAATCGAGATTTAACGTATTCTGAGCACCCTATCCGTCGCCTGGGTTTGTGAGGGCGGCGTCCAGCCCTGCTGATAAGAAGGGAACAAGGGAGTTCATTCTTCAGGAGTGGTGTCTTTAAAAAAACAAAATGACCTAGAGAGCACAGAGTGAGTTCCGGACTTTCCTTTTCCTCGTCCCCATGTCATTAAGTTATTAAGTAGGAAAAAAAGAAGGTTTTAGGGGGGAAAAAAAATTGGGCAGCTTCTGACAAGTTGACCAGCTTTAACACTGACCACCGATACCTGACGCTGGAAGTTTGGCTTCCCTGCTACAAGAGCCATACGTGAAACTCTCTGTTGGAGCTTCTGCGGTTTTGTTGGGTAGTTTATTTAAAAAGTCAAGGAGAAAAGGGGATAGAAGACTTCTTAAAAACACTCTCACTTGGCTGCTGTTTGAATCGTGGATTTAAGCAAGACCAGAAGAGCTTCTCGCTAAGGTGGGTGTTCCTACATGTTTGTTTGTTTGTTTTTCTAATGTACTAAGGATTTGCCCATCCCTCCTCTCGTGTAAGGAGCTGCTTGCATGAGCCTTATGCTGTCGGGATGGATCTGGAGAGGCCCAGTCCTCCTTGGACAGAGTCTGGCCTCACTGCCTGCTGAGATTTATATCTCAGGTCAGATGACGCCTGCCTGTGTTCAGAACTCTGCGGTTGGGCTAATTGTCCTGACTTGAAAAAGTTTGGGAAGCGTGGCTGCAGGTGAACCCTGATCAGGTGTCCTTTAGCTGATGGAAAGGGCGAGATTGGTAAAGCTGGCTGCATGGTGCCTTCCTGATGAGCTGCTGGGTGCGATCCAGGGCTCCAGAGGGGACCTGGCGGGCGCTGCCTGGCTGACGTCGGTGGCGGCGCATCCCCTGCCCGCGCTCCCGTTTCCATGGCTCGGGCGTCGCATGTGATTACGCGCCGGCATCAGGGAGAGCAGCTCCAGCACTGCTGGGAATTTCCAGCTTTGGGGTTTTATTTAGGATTTTGCTCTTTCCCCCTGTCGGTGTGCAGCGGCTCAGGCACTGTTCCCTGGCTGGTGGCGGTGCTCTGTCTCAGCACCCCAGTAGTAATGGGAGGGGTTTGTTTCTGTGGGGTCCCTTTGCTGGTGCCGGTCAGAGCAGGCATTAGAAATCAAGGCTGTAGTTGCCACGCAGTGGCAGAAATTAGATTGGGGGTTTCGTTGAGGTGGCGGGAATTAGATAGGGTAATGAATTGAAGTGAGATGCACTTCCTGCACTTAAAAATAAAAATGCCCCTCCCCCAACTAAACCCATGCACCAAAAAAAAAAAGCCCCCCAAAACCCCAATCCTACCCCGAAACAGCTGCTAGCAGAACTATTTTTGCATCTGGCTCGTTCTCAGGGGGTTACAAATACTTTGTCCAGTGACGCAGCGTGGCTGAATGCTTCCTCCTCCTCTGGCCTTCCCTGCTGTGGGGTGTCTGGGGATGGCTGTGCATGCTGGTCTTCTGCCAGTGAAATCAAGCATATTTTCCTGGGCTGGGACTAGTGGGTTTCTTGTCATTAGTGGTGGGTTTAGGATCTTTTTCTGCCCTACAGACATGATTGTACTGGCTCAGACCCACCGTCACCTCACCAAGGCTGACACAAAGTGCTGCAGGGGGGAGGTCAAAAAAAAGCCCTTCCAAAGAGGATGATTATGGATTAATCTTATTTCTCCTCAGCTCCCTTTGATCGGTTCATCCTCTGTGCAGCAGAACCCTTTATATCCCCACTTTTCTCATTAATCCATCTTGTCCTGTAGCGAGTTTGCCAGCTGAGGTTACCTGTCCTGCGGGTGTGATACCTTAGGATGACAAGTGTGATGGGACAGGCAGCAGAGTGGCTGCACCGTGGGCAGTGTCCTATCTGTCTGCCAACCCGGGAATCGGGAAGATTTTTTAGACTCTGTGGCCGGCTATTTGGTCCAACAAAAAAACCCCAGCAGCCGAGTGGCTCCTGAGCTTGTGGCCTGTCCAGCACAGTCCCAGGCTCCTGGGAGAGGAACTGGCTGCAGGCAGAGGTTTGGGGCCAGGACTGCTGTCCTGACGGATGGGATCCGTACCCTCTGCTCGCTGTGTGTGTGCAGTGAGCTGCGGGACGGCTGAGCTCTTTCCCAAGGAAGGAGAGGAGAAGAAACGCATGTTTGGCATGACAGTGACCGCAGGAGCTATCAGGAGGAGAGCTGGGGTGAGTCGGGCAGCCAGAACGACTTGAGACTTAATTGGTTTTTGCACAGGCAGTTTCAGGTTGAAGGTGTCTGGAGAGGAGAGGAAGAAATCTCCCGGTTAACTGCTGCTGGGGTGGTGAAACCAAAGTGTTCAGCTGTTTGTTTCTGTTTGCGTTTCCTTCTCTTTGGTAATTGAGGGCATTGGGAAAGTTGGTGTTTGAGTTCTGGTTCTGCCTCAGGCTTCAAGCGTCTGCCGAGGCTCCGCAGTGCCGTTCATCCAGCTCTGCTGCTGCCGGTCCTCGCTGAGTTGAGCAGGATCAGGTCTGGTCTGCAGCGAAAAGGCGACTAGGTGTCTCCCTCGCATCTGTTTGCAGCACGCCGGACGGAGGAGGCTGGGATAAGGCTGCTCTGGAAAATTCACCTCAAAGCCAAATTTCAGCTTGAAGTTGTTTTTTGTGACTTCTGTGCCCATCCAGGCAGGAATGTGCTGTGAGGAGCTGGGGTTTTGTGATAGTGACCTGAACTTCAGTGGCAAAAATCCCCAGCATCTGCATGGGTTAAGTCAGATGTTTGAGTAAGGCTCAGACTGATTAACTGCAGAGCTTTGTAGGCACCAAAAGCTTGTTTTTCCTGTTCACCTTAAATTATTTTAATGATCCTGGAGCCTGTGGAAAGTCTCCTGAGCAGGTGTGATGTGGTGTTTGTTTGTGCTGAGGGTGGGCAGGGGTCTTTGGGGACATGTCGCTTCTGCCCCGGTATGGGAAAACCACGGCACGATCAGCTAGCCAGGGCACAGGCAGCTCCTCATCTTCTCCTGGGAGATCTTTCCTGTTCCCTACATGATGGGGCCGTTCCTTGAGGAAAATCAAAGTATTTTAGGTTTGTTTTTTTTAATGTACATGCACAGCAAAGTGCTCTAGCCTTCCGATCCTGTGGGTTTAAGATGGGAGGAGAGCCAAAGGCGAAGGGAAGCGGGGATCTCTTCCAAGTAGCGGCCGCTGGAATCCCCAGCTTGAAAATAAATTTAACAGCTTTTTGTGGTTTTGGGTGGTGCAGCTATAAGGAACTGCCCCCCGGGACTCAGTACTTCCCCCCCATAAAGTCTCTTTCTGCTGAATGTTTTCTTGTTGTGTTTAGGCAGCACAATGTCAAATTGCCTTTTTTTTTTCTTTTTTTTTCCCCTCTCTGGAAGAAAAAAATGCAATGTAGTTCCAGGGTGGTTGGTACTAAATAATCAAAGGATAGCGTCTGCCTAATTTCTGCCTTGGGCTTATGCAACCATGGTGGATTGACCCTGGCTGGACGCCATGTGCCCACCACAGCTGTTCTGTCACTGCCCTGCTCAACTGGACAGTGGAGAGAAAATATAACAAAAGGCTCATGGGTCAAGATAAGGACAGGGAGAGATCACTCAACCAATTACTGTCATGGCCAAAACAGACTCCACTTGGGGAAAATTAACTTAATTTATTACCAATCAATTCAGAGTAGGGTAATGAGAAATAAAACCAAATCTTAAAACACTTTCCCCCCACCCCTCCCTCCTTCCCAGGCACAGCTTCACTCCTGAATTCAGTAGCTACCCACCTCAGCAGCACAGGGCGATGGGGAATGGGGGTTAGGGTCAGTTTGTCACACGCTGGCTCTGCTGCTCCTTCCTCCTCAGAAGGAGGACTCCTCACTCTTCCCCTTCTCCAGTGTGGGGTCCTTCCCATGGTAGACGGTCCTCAACGAACTTCTCCAACGTGAGTCCTTCCCATGAGCTGCAGTTCTTCACGAACTGCTCCAGCTTGGGGTCCCTCCCACAGGAGACAGTCCTCCATGAACATCTCCAATGTGGGTCCTTCCCACAGTCTGCAGTTCTTCACAAACTGCTATGGCATGGGGTCCTCCCCAGGCTGCAGGTGGATATCTGCTCCACCATGGACCTCTCTGGGCTGCAGGGGGACAGCCTGCCTCACCATGGTCTTCCTCATGGGCTGCAGGGGAATCTCTGCTCCGGCACCTGGAGCACCTTCTCCCCCTCCTTCTTTACTGACCTTGGGATCTGCAGGGTTGCTTCTCTTTTATGTTCTCACTCCTCTCTCCAGCTGCAGTTTCTGTTCCACGGCAACTTTCTTTTCCCTTTTTAAATACTTTATCTCAGAGGTGCTACCACCGTCATTGATAGGCTTGGCCTTGGCCAGCGGCAGGTCTGTCTTGGAGCTGGCTGGCATTGGCTTTATTGGACATAGGGGAAGCTCCCAGCAGCTTCTCACAGCAGCCACCACTGTAGCCCCTCAGCTACAAAACCTTGCCCCACAAACCCAGTACAGCAAATCAGTGCTTGGCAAAGCCGACTGCAGAAAAATGAGCTATTTTAAATGAAGCTGCTATAAAAGAGGGTCTCAGAGAACAGCTCCTGGTGCTTGCCATTGCCCAGGTTCGGATGGTTCCTCCTGATTTTGTGGTGCGGGGCAGGTGGAATGGGCGCTGCATTTGGGGACAGAGGTCGGGTTTCTGGACCTGCCTGAGGAAGATGGTGTGGTGTAAATATCCAGGCAATTAGCTGATAAGTGGGTGTGTGGGTTTATGTTCAGTTTTTTATCTCAGAGCTGCTTACAGGACACTGGGAAGAAGGCAGAGACATCGCTTTGCACTGCACGTGGTTGTTTCTTGTGTTTTTTACTGTGTAGAGGAATATTTGTAGCTCCCACTGCAAAATCCTGGACCAGAGTGTGCGTGCAGCACCTACGAAACCTGGCAGCGGGGCAGGAGCAGAGGGAGAGCTGTGGGTGCAAGCTGAGTGGGCCCGACAGCCACTTGAGCCACTGGCCTGTAAAACAAGCGGCGTGTGGGTTCATTTACTGCTCGGCACCAGTGCCACAGCACCAAAACCGGTCTGGATGCAGCTGAGGAACGCCAGGGACTTTACTGTCAGCTTGAAATGTGGCTTTTGGCAAACACTTTGGTTGCTCTCGGTGTTTTTTCTGCTCACGACAGCGACCATCAAGACTAGGGATTGTTTGTCTTAATGTTTTTTTTAATACTTTTATTCTGTGTTCACACAATTACCGTGTGCTGCCTGTTGATATTCTGTTGTGATGCAGCTGCAGCTCCTGGTAAAGGCTTCTCCATAACTTGGCTTTCGCAGGGTTTATGAGACCAGAGAAATCCATTCCCTCTCCTGGGACGTGCTGGGCTGCAGCCCAGCGCGCTCTGACTTCTCCATGGAGCTGATGTGGCTCGGCACCCGGGGCAGGAGGAGTGGTTGGAGAAGAACCGGGGTGCTTTATTCTGTTTTTTCTCCCCTCTCTCCTGCATGGAGATGGCTATAGGCTGTTGGTACCAAGAAATATTTTCACCAGAAGCTGTATTGATATGACTTTTCTACTTGGGGGGAAGCTCTACAGTATATATTGCCCTCTCCTCCCCAGCTGGAGTAGTCAGAGTTGTGTCAGACTGTTTTCAGAGCAGCAGTCGCTCAACACATTTTTTAATTTAAGCTATTTGCTTTTCACGATAGGAATTAAAACCCTCCCATTGAGCGCTGGTGGCCGACAGGCCCAATCGAGGGCTCCCTGTTCCTCCGCCTGCCTGGGGCCAGAGCATGAGTCACGGGTCGTGCTGGGAATAGACCGGAGATTCCTGCCTGTGTCCCGTGTTTACGCTGCTGCCGCCTCTGTTTTGGGAACTGTAACCAAGGAAAGCTGCTCTGTGGTGATGCTGGCTGGGCTCGGGTGAGCTCTCTGGAGGGAAGAAGGAGCCATGGCCCGGTGCCGTGTGGAGCAGGGAGCCACTGACTGCGGGGCTGGATCCCTTCTGGAAAATGGCAGGGCTGGTATCGAACTGCGATCTCCGCTCTCCTGCGGCCTCTGGTCCTGCGTCTCGTAGGGGAGGACTCCTCCTGACCCAGTTAAACTAACGAGGGCCATCGTTTTAGGGTATAGCCGTGATGCAATGATGGCGTGACTCCCCCATACGGCATGCATGCTGGCACAACGAGGGTGTGCCCGGGGCAGGTGCCTTTTTGCCATGGGTGCTACCACCACCCCCTAGCCTGAGATGTGCTGCAGGGGTTTAAATGTGCTTTGGGGGTCTGAAGCCCCCTCCAAATAGCTCAGGGGGGCGCCGCGGGCCACAGCCCTCTCCCAGTGCCCAGCAAGCCATGTGGTGTGGTTACTCCTAACCCAATCACTGTGTGCCCTGGGCAACTGGTGTTGCCAAATGGCTTGTCACCAGTTCCCAGCGTGTCTTGTGGCAGACTCTGTGCAGTGGCATGGTGCCATCCCCAGGCATAGGATGGCTTAATGTCACCCGCTTAGCTCTGACAGCGCTTGATCCCTAAAGGAGGCCAGACATGGGCTGTGATTCCTGCGGGTCCCTACTCTTTTTGGCTGGGTGCCTGACTCCCTGTGACTCTTGGTGAAGAAATGAAGCTGTCAGTGCTGCTGAAAGAGAGCTGGGTGATGGCAGAGCTACGAGGAACTTCCCTGGGGGAGGCCGTAACCGGGTGAGAAACCTGCTGAGACGAGGAGGGTGAGCCCTGAGTTGGCCACTGAAGCCAGTCTGACGAGGCTCGTGCTCCTCCAACTTTGAAGCTGAACAGGTCGGGGCCTGCCGAGCGGCTGATTTCCTTCTCCCTTGATGTTTTGGCATGATACCAGTGGCTGCGCCGAATGGCTTTGTGTGGTTAGTACCCGCTGGTGGGGCAGCGGAGGGTTTAGCTGGGGCTGTCGACATCCCACTTGGCTTTGCCGGGGGATGCGAGAACTCATTTTGCTTGGGTGGAGGACCTTGGTCCTCACCTGTGTCATGGTCTGGAGCCCTGTAGCTTGTAGGTTTTTCTTCCAGATGGTGTTTGGGTTCATAAGTTAATGTGGCAGAGACCTGTCAGTGCTGGCAGATCCCGGTGCTGTCAGTCTGGTACCCAGCCCTCGATTTTTTGGTGTAAGATGCTCCAGCAGAGGAGAGGACGAGTCATGGCCAAGCATGGAGATGCAGTGGAGGGGTGCAGAGTGGGCTTTTTAATCAAGTATCGATGGGGAAGGAATTAAATTCTGTTGGCCCTCTCTGTCTTCTAGGGTTGCAGTGCTAAGAGGAGCCCCTGGCTTGGCTGGCGCGTGCCTGCAGCAGTGGAAGATGGCTGCCTTCAAACGGAGCCGAGCGCAAGCATGGCCGGAGGAATGGGGTGATCGGGAGCATGGGCTGTACAGCCTGCACCGCATGTTCGACATCGTGGGCACCCACCTGACCCACCGGGATGTGCGGGTGCTCTCCTTCCTCTTCGTCGACGTGATCGACGATTATGAGAGGGGGATGATCCGCAGTGGCCGGGACTTCTTGCTGGCGCTGGAGCGGCAGGGCCGCTGCGACGAGACCAACTTCCGACAGGTGCTGCAGTTGCTGCGGATCATCACTCGCCACGACCTGCTGCCCTACGTCACCCTCAAGAGGCGACGGGCTGGTAAGTGATGCCACTGGCAGCCTGGCCTGCTCCCTAACGAAGGCCGAGTTATTCGGCCGTCTCCTGTTTCTCCTCTACTAACACCCTGGAGGTGCAGTGGTTAAAAGAACCTGAGGCTTGTAAGAACAAACAGCTGCCAGAACAGCAGGGAAATGCAGGCAGAGAAGGCAAAGGGGTATTTTACAGGGTTTTAGCAAGCGCCCACACACGGTTTTGGGGGGCTTAAAGCCTTGCTTCGTTTCTGGCAAGTGCCAAGGTCTCCTCCTTTCTTTAGTGGCAGAGAACTGGGATTCCTGCTGCGTGCTGTGCAGCTCCATGACTCCCAGCTCCGTGCCTGCGACTCCCAGCTCCTGCTGCTCATCCCTAGTTTTTAGGGAAATGCTCCTTTTGGCCCAAAATCCTGCCTGGGTGAGATGCCTTGGGTGGCCCCAGGGCTGTGCTGGGGAGTGAGAAGGAGCCGGGAGGGTCTGGGGAAACTCGTGGCTGCTGTGCTCGATGTGCCGTCGGCTTCGGGGGAAACCCGCTTGTCCTCTCGGGGCTGAGGCAGGTTTGGGAAGGCAACCGCTGTTCTCCTCAAGCTGGTGCTGTCAGTCCTGTGGTGTGCAGTGCTCAGAGAGGCCAGACTGAGAAACCCGTGTCCAAATTCAGACTTTTTTTCGCCCATTTTCCACTGAGATGCCCCAAACCCTCCTCTGTTGGCCGCCCCTTTTCCCCTCACTCTTTCCTGGCTCGGAAACCCTAGCAATGACCTGACTATTTGGATCTGGATAATTTGATGGGTTTTTGGTCACTTCATGGAGCTGTCAGGCTGAGCTGACCCCCTGCCCTCCACCATCTTGGCCCTGTGCCTTTTTTTCACTAAAACCCTCTAATTTACAGTTCAAAGAAATACCCCAGATCAACCAGAACCAGAGGAGTCATGAAGGAGAGAGCACTTGTTGCAGGGGATATGTAAGGCAGCTGCTCCAGCAGGATTCAACCTCTGAAATTTGCATCTTTGCTTTAAATGAGGATAATTGGGCTTTCTTGGCAGTTCCAGGCTGCTGAGTCTCCCCAGTTTCTGCTCGCACTGTGGGCAACGGTGCTGTTCCCTGCCAGCGCTTGGGAAAGCGGTGAGTGCAAGTAGAGGCAGGCATTCAAAACTCCCTGGTTTTGGGGGGATGAGAGGAGCGACAGCAGCGCTGGTGTGAACAAACCCTTTGAGCTGGGGCTGTCACTGGGAGCGTGGTCCCATGCTGCCTGCAGCCTCTGCCCTGCCAGGGGGAAACTGGATCAGGCGGCTTGAAAATTAACGGGTTCTTTTTTTCTTCAGTCGCTTCTTAACCAGCATTGGGCCGGGGAGGGGCTGGGGATGCTCCGTTTGGTGGCAGCTGCTGCCTTATGCCGCTCTGAAATGCCAGAAGCTTCCAGCCCTGCTCGACCTCATGGGATGGAGCCTGAGCACAGGGCAGCCCTGCCTGCGCCTGCACCCTGCACCCATGCAGGTTCAGACCAGACTCCATGAGGATTTTCCCATGTTATGGCCTTTTCTGGGAGGTGGGAGCGCATGCTCTGCCCTCTGTGCCACTCCTGGAAGTGGCTGCCCCGGGGATGGATCCCAGCCTGTTCCCCTGCCATCGCTGCCAGCTCCACTGCCCACAGAGCCCCTTGCAGGGCAGCCAGCACCGTGGCTTGGTGCAAGCAGGGTGTAGGAGGCTGTTTACCGGTGCCGGTGTAACCTTGCGGTGCTCTCCTCTGCACCAAGCCAAGAAAAACTAGAGGAAAAGGGGTGTGTGGGCATGTTATGCAGACCAGCTGGGCAGCACTTGGATTCGGGGAGGTTGGATGGATCCACGGCTCTGTGTCCCCCAGTTTGTGTAGCATTTGGGGGTGTCACAGCACTATTTTTGTGTTTCTTGAGCAGCTTTTTGCTTGTTTTGTGCAAAAATCCAAACTGAAGGGGCACTTGGTTGCTCTACCTCAGTCGGCTCAAGCCAGGTGAACCCTCCCTGTGTCGGCTTTGGTGTGTTCAGGGCGAGATGGATGGATTGTGGTATTAAAGTGCAATACTCACGTGGTTGGGGAGCTGGAGGTCGGCATTTGCGTCTCCATACACTGCCGTCATGTGAGAAGCGATGCTCCCTACCCGTGAGATCTTGTTCTTGCAATGTCTCCAGCCACGCTTGGGTGGAAACTGTTTAATTAAATGCACAAAAATAGCATTCCAAAAAGCTTTATTAAGAAAGGCACCTTACATGTGGTTTATAATACGCAGTGCTTTGCATTTAAAGAGGAGGGATTGATTGGTTAAAGGAAGTCTCCTCTGGACTTAACGAGCTGATGCTCGTTTCTGGTTCCCGTGTCCTTCCAGACCCTGCAGCAGCCAGGAGGTCTTGTCTCCTTCTGCCTCATCGTTATTCATGGCTCTAAAAAGGAGCAAAACCCTGTCCTGAATTAGCTTGGTGCAGCCAGAGCCGGCTGGGCGAAGGCAGAGAGCGGCGGGGGGGCCGGGGAGACCAGCAGCCTTGGCCAGCTTCGGTCCGGCAGGGATGGGAGGGATTCTGCACGGGGATGGGCAGTGCTCTGAGTTCATCAAACAGGACAAAAACAATGCGCAGAAAATGTCCAGGCCCTCAAAAATAACTTTTTTTACCCCATAATCTTTGCTCAGCAGCTGCTTCTGCTCAGCAGCTTGACTCTCCTCAAAACCCTGTGTCTTGCCAGTGTGTTACTTCAAGGTTTGATCTGCTAAAGTCACATAAATAATGTAGGCTTAATGTTTTTGAGTGTATGCCAGTTTATCCTAAAGCGTTTCAGCAGCTGGATCCATCCCGGGATCCTGGAACTGCCGCTGTCCCCCTGTGGCTCCGCTCTGCTGGGGCTATGGAGGAGGAGGAGCAGTGGCTGTTCCCCCAGACCTTTGCTCAGACTGACACGAGCCCAAGCTCAAGTAGGGATCACGGGACGAATGCAGGGCTGGTCAGAGCAATTGCCAGGTATGTACGACCTGGTACGGCACCGGCACAGTGTCGGAGGCACTGCCTGCCTTGGCTGGAGTTTCTCCCGGGGGATTGTGTGCGTGCGATGCTGCCAGTCTGTTCTGAGTCTGGGTGTTGGGATTATCTATGGTAACAAATGGAAAGGGCCTTTCCTGTGCCGCAGTTGGGAAGGCTTGGCTCCCAAATGGAGTTTTTTCGAGAGGACTGGCTGGAGAAACAGCTGGTTGATGTGCAGCCGTGCTTGGGGGGATGCAGAGCAGCTTAAGCATGTGTTGACACCCGCCGCATCGGGAAAGACCTGCCCTGGCCTCCCTGTGTCCCCTCTGTCCCTCCTGAAGGGACCTGTGTCCCCTTTCTCTTCCAGTGTGTCCGGACCTGGTGGACAAGTACCTGGAGGAGACGTCCATTCGCTACGTGACGCCCCGAGCTCACAGCGAGGCAGAGCATGGGCTCGGCCACCCCCATAAATCAGGTGGGTGCAGATGCCCACTGCCAGACCTCAGGGTTTGGTCTGTGGGGATTCGGGGGTTCAGTCTGTGGGAATTCATTGGGACCGTCCCGCTTTTGCCTTGTCTGCTCCCACTGGGAGTGCAGGGACTTGCCTTTGGCTGGTGGTAACTGTTCTGTCATTGCTGAAGTAACATCTGATCCTGCTGCCACAAGCCCCCACAGTTTGGGGGACAATCAAGCACAGAGTGTGACATCCCTTCCCATAACTGCAGGGAAGCCATTCAATCTTGGTGTAATCTGGGGTTCCCCTCTTGGGGCTTGCACAGGCTCCTGGGGCTGCCAGATGCCCCTTGGGACGAGCGTCCCAGGACGGTGGGGGTTCAACTGGGAGGTGAATGCAGCGTGGGAAGGAGGGGAGGGCTGGAGCTTGGTGTCGGGGATGGAGCAGGAGTGCTCCAACACAGATTTGGAGTGCAACCAGCAAGGGCAAGTGGCCCTGAGAGCTTCAGCAGGGCCTGGGAGGGGGAGCGGCTCCTCCGAGATGTCCCCAGGCAGGGAGCAGGGGGGCTCAGTGTCCCCTAACCCCCGTCCTCTCCCTGTGCAGTGCCTCCCCACCACCCTGTGGTCTGCTGCTCCTCTGCGGGACCCCAGATCTGTACCAAGAGGCCCGGCCGTGGCAGGACCCTCCTCAGCAGCCAGCGCAAGAGGAGGAAGTCAGCAACGCCGGACCCTAAGGAGAAGCAGACCTGTGGTAAGAGCCTCTGGGGGGAGGGGGGGGGGGCAAGGGGTGTTGGGGGTCCCAGCCCCATGCCAGAGTACTCACCGCCCTCCCCGCTTCCTTCAGATATCCGCCTGCGGGTCCGAGCTGAGTACTGCCAGCATGAGACAGCGCTTCAAGGCAATGTCTTCTCCAACAAGCAGGACCCCTTGGAGCGTCAGTTTGAGCGCTTCAACCAGGCCAACACCATTCTGAAGTCCCGGGACCTGGGCTCCATCATCTGTGACATAAAATTCTCAGAGCTCACCTACCTCGACGCGTTCTGGCGTGATTACATCAACGGCTCTTTGCTGGAAGCCCTCAAGGGCGTCTTCATCACGGACTCGCTCAAACAAGCCGTGGGCCATGAAGCCATCAAACTGCTGGTCAATGTGGATGAGGAGGATTACGAGGTCGGGCGCCAGAAACTCCTGAGGAACTTGATGCTGCAGACGGCTCCCTGACTGCCTGATGGCTGCTCGGTGGGATCCAAGCTTTTTCCTTCTTTTTTTTTCTTTTTTTTTTTTCTAAAAGAAAAGGAAAAGATGATCGGGACCCCCACCCGGTACTGTGCAACTCTGGGTTCAGAGCCGGGCTGGAGCCACGGGGAGCGCCAGAGGCTTACATGTTTCCTCACCCCTTTCCTGTCCTGTCCCTTCCTCTCTCACTTTGTTTTCCTTTTTTCTCTTTTATTTTGTATCCATTAAAAACAAAAAGGCAAAAATCCCGCCTGGGGCATGTCAGTGACAGGGCTGGGCGAGCTGGGGGTGGGGGGAGGTGGTTGGTGGAGGTTTGTACTGGGATGGGCTCAGCCCTGTGGTGCCCATGCCAGGTTCGGGGGTGGCTTTGTCTCCCTCCTGCCCTTGTGTCACCGTCCTGGCGGGCTCTGTGTGCTGGGAGCTGCCCTGCAGGTAGTGCTATTCCCCACCCCGTTTCTCCCTCAAATAACAACCCCCCCCATTGCCTCAGTGGGTTTCTCAGGAGTAAAACCGTCCCCGTGGCGTCCCCTGGACCATGTGCCTTCGTGTCCCCCTCCCCTGCGGGGGCCCGGGGGGGAGGACCAGTGCCGAGGGATGCCCCGAAATCTCTTGCCTGTCCCCCTGCCTCTTCTCTCCCCTCCATGGCTGCCTGGCTCTGTCCCTCCCCTCTCCAGCTGGCAACTGGGACAAACTGGGACAAGGGGCAGGTTGGGGCAGCATGATCTGCCTGTTGCTGGCAGCAGGCAGCTGAGCCTCTGCCTGCACGTGTTGGAGGGCAGCTGGCAGTGTGCAGTGCGTGGCTGCCTGGCCCATGCCTTGGCTCCCTGTCCCTGGAGAGCCCCCAAAATGGCTGTCCCCCGCCCCCATCTGCTGCCTGTGGGTCCTTGGGGTGAGGGGATTTTTTTCCAGCTCCATCCTGGTTTTGTGTTTTTTTTCTCCCCATCCCTGCTCGGCTGCTGGGGGGTACAGACCCCCTCCTGGGTAGGGGGCAGCTCCCCGGGACTCATGGTGTGTGTGCCCCCCCTCCCCTGCCCTGGGGCACGCAGCCCCCCTCTGCTTATGGACGATTCTGGCACAACTTGGTGTAATTTCTGTGACTTCTGTATTTTTTAAACTTCAATATAATGGTCATATTCCCTGTGTAGCTTTCGGGTTTCTTGAAATAAACATCTACCGCAGTGCCTGGCTGGCTCCTTCTGCCCCTGCCTGTGCTGGGGGACCCCTGACCCCCCCCAGCACTATGGGAGCTTGAGGGGGGAGACACTTCTGGCTGCAGCACAGGGGGCCAGGGAGCCCTAAGCCCATCTTGCTGCTGCATTTTGGGGAGAAACAGTCTGAAACAGAGCAGCTCTGGCCCTGCTCTGGATTTTACCACACCAGGGAGGGGCTCATGGCACTGGCGCCAGCCCCATGGCCGCCACACTGCCATAGAGGTCAGGCCGGCGGTGGCTGTGCACTGGGATCTCCTGGCGGATGCGGCGCAGGTAGTCGAGGTCGATCTCGGCGTAGCAGAGCCCAGTTCCCTCATGGCACTGGGCCACCACGGCACCCCAGGGGTCCACCACCAGTGCGTGGCCATAGGATGTCCGGTGCTCGTGGTTCTTCCCAGTCTGGGCAGCTGCCACCACGTAGCACTGGCTCTCGATGGCCCGGGCCCGCAGCAGCACCTGCTGGGGGATGTGGCACTGTTGGTGGTGCTGGACCACAGCCCCGGGTAGGGGGGAAATGGGGCAGAGAGTGGGGTTTGGGTGGGGGCCCCACAGCTGGGCTGGCTGTGCCACCTGCCCCTTAAATAGCCAAAAAAGAGGCTTTTTGTCTTAAATTTGCCCCTCTTGGCTGTAGGATTCATCCCTGTGTGCTTGCTGCTGGAGATGATTCGGGTGAGGGCTCAGCCCCAAGCTGCCAGCCCCCGGAGTGTCCCCAGCCCAGCAGAGGACAAGGGACAAGCAGCAAGAGCTGCCTGGAGCAGGGCACGTGGCCAAGGGAGAGGCTGGGAGGGCCAGGGCCAAGCTCACCTCCCAGTGTGCCGAGCCTGTGGGGACGGTGAAGGCTGAAGGGTAGGTGAGGATCTCGGCGCCGGCATGCCGCAGTGCTAGCGAGATCTCGGGGAAGCGCAGGTCATAGCAGATGGAGAGGCCGAGCTGGCAGGGGGAAGGAAGAGACATCAGTGAGGACATGGCGCCTGGGCAGAGGTGAGGGGACGTGGTGCTAGAGCCAGGGGAGCCCCTTGCCCCGCAGGGACCCCAAACATCCCCAGAGGTGCCCATCTGTCCCATACCTTCCCAGCTGGTGTGCTGATTGGGGCCACAATCTCGGTACCAGGATTGGTGAAGCTGCTCTCCTTCATGGTGACACGTCCCTCCAGCTCCACGTCACACAGGTGGGTCTTCCTGTAAGTGGCCACGATGTTACCTGGGGACAAGAGGGTGTGAGGGGGGGACATCCGTGGGAGCTGGGGACCCCAGGTTGGTGGGGCAGGGCCGGGGGCTCTCACCTGCAGGGTCCAGCAGCACATGGCAGTTGTAGATGCGCTGCGTGGTTGGCCAGTCCTGGCCGCGCTCATGGAAGCCGCCCAGGGACAGCCACACGCCGTACTCCCTGGGGAGAGGAACCTGCGGTCACCCTGGCTCTGCCAGCGATCCTGCAGCCAGCACCAGTGGCTCCGTCTCCGCCACCCCGTGAGGGGGTCCCCATCGGTACTTAGCCAGCTCGGCGTAGCGTCCCATGAGGTCCCCGTCCAGTCCCTCGGCCAGGCTGAGGGTCTGTGCCGTGTTGGAGCCGATGTAGTCGAAGCCCTCAGGGAGGAAGACGAGGCAGGCGCTGCGATGTGCGGCCTCCCGCACCAGCCCGGCACAGACGGCAAAGTTCAGCTCCTTGTCGGGTGTGGAGGTGACTTGGCCCACGGCCACCAGCGGCTTCAGCGTCGGGGGGTCCGCCATGGCGTGGGGCAGGTGCGGGGAGCTGTGGCACAGCGTGGGGTACCTGCCCAGGGTACCGGAGCTGTGCAGCCATCTCGGGGTGCACGGGGGGGCTGGGAGCAGGCAGCGCAGCAGAGTCCAGGGCACCGCTCTCAGCCTG